AGTCCCAGACTGGACCATCCCCAGTTCTAGATCAGCCCATCCCCACTCCCAGACCAGTGTCCCCAGTCCCAGACTGGACCATCCCCAGTTCTAGATCAGCCCATCCCCACTCCCAGACCAGTGTCCCCAGTCCCAGACTGGACCATCCCCAGTTCTAGATCAGCCCATCTCCAGTCTGAGATCAGTCTCCCCAGTCCCCGACCAGTGTCCCCAGTCCCAGATCAGTCCACCCCCAGTTCTACATCAGTCCATCTCCAGTCCCAGACCAGTGTCCCCAGTCCCCGACCAGTGTCCCCAGTCCCAGATCAGTCCATCCCCAGTTCTACATCAGTCCATCTCCAGTCCCCGACCAGTGTCCCCAGTCCCAGATCAGTCCATCCCCAGTTCTACATCAGTCCATCTCCAGTCCCCGACCAGTGTCCCCAGTCCCAGATCAGTCCATCCCCAGTTCTACATCAGTCCATCTCCAGTCCCCGACCAGTGTCCCCAGTCCCAGATCGGTCCATCCCCAGTTCCCAAGCAGTCTCCCCAGTCCCAGACTGGTCCATCCTAGTTCTACATCAGTCCATCTCCAGTCGAAGATCAGTCTCCCCACTCCCAGACCAGTGTCCCCAGTCCCAGATTGGTCCATTCCCCATCCCAGACCAGTGTCCCCAGTCCTAGATCAGTGCATCCCCCATCCCAGATGAGTGTCCCCAGTCCCAGATTGGTCCATCCCCAGTTCTACATCAGTCCATCCCCTGTCCCAGACCAGCCTCCCCCATCCCAGACCAGTCTCCCCAGTCCTAGATCCGTCCATTCCCCGTCCCAGACCAGTCTCCCCAGTCCCAGATCAGTCCATTCCCCATCCCAGACCAGTCTCCCCAGTTCTAGATCAGTCCATCCCCAGTCCTAGATCAGTCCATCCCCAGTCCTAGATCAGTCCATTCCCTGTCCCAGACCAGTCTCCCCAGTCCCAGATCAGTCCATTCCCCATCCCAGACCAGTCTCCCCAGTTCTAGATCAGTCCATCCCCAGTTCTAGATCGGTCCATCCCCAGTGCCAGACCAGTCTCCCCAGTCCTAGATCAGTCCATCCCCAGTCCTAGATCAGTCCATTCCCTGTCCCAGACCAGTCTCCCCAGTCCCAGATCAGTCCATTCCCCATCCCAGACCAGTCTCCCCAGTTCTAGATCAGTCCATCCCCAGTCCTAGATCAGTCCATCCCCAGTGCCAGACCAGTCTCCCCAGTCCCAGATCAGTCCATTCCCTGTCCCAGACCAGTCTCCCCAGTTCTAGCTCAGTCCATCCCCAGTTCTAGATCGGTCCATCCCCAGTGCCAGACCAGTCTCCCCAGTCCTAGATCAGTCCATTCCCCATCCCAGGCCAGTCTCCCCAGTTCTAGATCAGTCCATCCCCACTTCTAGATCAGTCCATCCCCAGTGCCAGACCAGTCTCCCCAGTCCTAGATCAGTGCATCCCCTGTCCCAGAGAAGTGTCCCCAGTCCCAGATTGGTCCATCCCCAGTTCTAGATCAGTCCATCCCCTGTCCCAGACCAGCCTCACCATCCCAGACCAATGTCCCCAGTGCCAGACCAGTCTTCCCACTCCCAGATTGGTCCAGCCCCAGCCCCAGACCAGTCCACCCCTGGACAGTTTCCAGTTCCCTCCCGGATCAGCCCCCAGAGCCGGACCCTCCCTCGGTGCCCCCAGCCGGGATCGGTGCCTGGCCGCCCCAGCCCAGCCCAGCGGCCGCCGGCCACAGCAGAGCATAGAGGACAATCTGCAGCCTGACTTTAGAGGGGGCTTTTTTTGGGATTACCAGATTACACACACATTTCTTGGAAGAAAACCACAATTACTCCCACATGGGTAATACAGAGAAATGGGAAATCTGTGGAGCTGCACAGATGGTATAATAAAAATAATCATCTAAGGTACACAACCTTTACTGTCATTTATAATAAATAACGGCTGTAATAGCCCTTGTTTTTAAACACCCGCCCGACCCTAATCAGATCCCCCCTGTGAGATTTGGGGAGAGCCAAAACCATCTTTTGCAGTCAGATACAGTAGGAAGGTTATTTCTTTTTCTTACTGAGAAACAAGTGAAGCTTTGCAGGGGGCAGTTGCATCGGTCCTGCCCCCCCACGCCGGCTGGAGACCCCCCCAGTAAAAAATTGTTTCTTTTGTAAAAGCTCTGGCAAGTTTGGGATATTTGAAAAGGGCTTCGTATCATCAACCCTCTCCATCCCCTCCGGCTTTGTTTTGGCTCCACAACTTCATGGGCAGCCTGGCAAGGTAAAATCTCAGTTCCCTGGGGCGAGGGGGATCCCAGCGGGAGGAAGATAAAATAAAAACCCCTTTAAAATGGGTTTTTCAGCCGCTCACGGTGCTCGCAGCAGTGGCCTGGAAAGGAGAGAGATGTCCCGCAGCCCTGCCAGCGGCTGGGAAGGGAAAATGCAAAACACACCCTGGGGCAGGCAGCAGAGCCGGGAATTTCTTGCAAACTATTTCCCTATATGCGAGCAACAGCCTGGGAACCTCGTTCATGCTTCAGCAGAGCGATTTTCCCCGCGCCAGAGGCACCAGGCTTTCGGGAGAGCTGACGCGGCACGGGAGAGCTGAGCAGCGAAGCATGCAGAGCTCTTAGCAATGTAGAATGAAGTGGAAATCAGACTGCTTTTATCTGCTTCGGGGCTTGCTTTCCACTGGCCAGAAGTCCTAAAGCCACCACAGGTCCCACTGATGTAGGCCAGAGTGGAAAAATATATATATTCACCTGGGACACCCCTCAAATTCAGGGGAAATTGGGCTTAGGAGATGCTATTTGGGCAACGGTTCTTGCTGTGATGCCAGGCGTGGGCAATGCTGCAGCTTACGGGGAGCATCCCTTGTGGTTCCCAAAATCAGGGGGATTTTTCCAGGGGTAACAGCTGCTTTGGTGACGCAGTTCCTTGGGGAATATTTGAGTCCCGGGGATGCCCGGTCGTGGGATGGGAAGGGGCACGGTCATCCAGGCTGGCGCAGGTGATGGGACAGCAGCGCTCCGCCGTGGTTATCACACCTACTGCAAACCTAATCTCTGCTTATCACATATCTCTGATGACTTCCTATTAACACCAGAAACCAACATTCTTCTCTTTTTTTTTCCTGCGCACAAGTTCCATTTTTCTGCTTCTTCAAATGATAACGGAGGCGTTAAATACAGTATCGACCTGGTTTGCTCATTTGCCCTTCGGTCCACTCCATCAACAGCATTTACGGTCCTTGATCTCATTAATTGCTCACGGCTCTTTCCCGCACAGCGAACGCTGCAGGTACAAACGGTGCCATAGCTCCATGTAGAATAACATACAGCAGAGAGACCTTTTTTCAACGTAAAAAGACAGGGAAATCGCCCCCTAATTTTTCTCCCAGAATCCTACATGTTATGGCTAAACATTGAGTCTCTAAAACTTTTCATTTTGCTGGTGGTTCTCATCAAGAAAATAGGAAACAGGACGCAGCGGCAGAGCGGTCATGGCAGTCCATCCCTCCATTCCCACCAGGAACACCGCAAATCAAGACCAGCCATCCTCATGGTTTTAATCACTCTCCTCTTTATTAGGAGTTGGGCGAGTCACCCCCAGCACTGTCACCCTCAGAGTACCCAGAAATTTTCATTAAGGGAATTCCTAGTAATATTTTAAGGGCTGTTTTGTTTTTGTTGGTTTTTTTTTTCTCAGAATGGATTGCAAAACAGATATTTTTGAGAAGCCAGGCAAGTTATTTATAGTAAAATGCCAAGCTGGCATGGAAGATTTGAAGGTTTAAACGTAGAAGGGCTGTGGCGATGGGTGGGGACCCCCCTCGAAGGACAGATGTGGGGAGTCCTGGCAAAGGAAGGCAGCGAAGCCACGCTTTAGAAACACGGTGGATGAGTTTGGGATGAAAAAAGGGACACGGTCACGGTATTTCAGTATTAAAAAGGCTGTTGGAGAGGGACGGCGTTAAATTGGTCTGTGGGTCGACGGAGTCCAATCGAGCAGTTGGCTTCTTTTGCAACCAGGGACATTCAGATTGGGCAGCAGGGGAAACCCAAAGCTGCTCTGGCTCTGGGGATGGAGGTGGTGGGGACGGGCAGCCTCCAGCACTGCTGGATTTCCCCCCTCCCTTGGGGGTTGTGTTCAGAAAAATGCCGGACAGATGTCTGCCAAGACCAGGCTGGACCAGGAAAGTCCAAGCACGGCAAGAGGCATCTGCAGCCCTGAGAGCAGCTCAGCCTCCGGCCGCTCTCCCCATGCCCGGGACCCATCCCTCCCTCCTCGGGGCCACCTCGCGGGCTGCATCGGCCCCCAGCTTCACTGCAAAGCAGAAGACAAGGTGGCCTCTCCCCATCTCATCCTGCTCTGGCTTTCCAAGGCATTCCCGTGTCCTGCCCGAGGAGCACCCGGGTACCATGCTGCTGGAGAGAAGGACGGGGCTTGCTGCTGCTACAGGTAATGGGAAAGTGGCCACGGTCCACTGGGAAATGGGAGAACGGGACAGGACAAGACACTGTCATCAATTAACTGGCTTGCCCAGAGGTATGCACGGAGCCGGCAGCCAAGGGGAGGGTCTGCAAGTCCTGACCCCCGCCTCCAACCCTTGAGCCCACAGCCGAGGCTGGCGCTGGCTTCTTGCTGCGCTAGACATGAACCCCCGTGGGCGTTTGGCAAAGGGAATATGGAGTTTTCCAAGCCCCGGGGCCAACATCTGCCTTCGAGCAGCCAGCCGCTTATCTGTTCATCCATCTGCTTCTGCCGGTGCCACCTGCATGGTAGGGGAGTGGGTAGGTGGGAGCTGGAGAGTGGAGCCAGGAGCTCTCCCTGCTCCCCAGCTGCTGCTCCTTCTGCCTCTGCTCCTGCCGGGCCAGCAAGCACTGCAGCTCCTCCTGGTCCTTGAACGGGTTCCTGCCGTAGTCACGGCGGATCCAGGCACGGTACTGCCAGGACAAAGCCAAAAGAGGTTGCCAGGGTCACTGGGGATGAGATACCCCCAGCTCGAGAGCCGGGGCGTGCAACAGCCCCATGGAAAGCAGCGAGCCGAGCAGGGGCGACGCCCGCTGCATCCCAGCCGCAGCCTCAGACGAGGCCGGGGGGTCCCCAGCCCCAGCCAGCAAGCAGAAGGTTTTGCAGGAGCTCACGCGCCACGTGACACGACCGCGTCGTACAAGAGATGCGACAGTCCCCCCCCAGCCGAGTGCTCCCCGCATCCCCAGCCCGGCACAGACCGACCCGGAAAGCTGGCAGCATCCTCAGCTTCTCACGCAGGCTGCAGCTGAGACAGCAGCTTTATTTACTTTTCGTTGCCAAGAAGCAGCTGCTGTTCCCTTTGCGCCCCAATTCCTGTAAGAAAAGCTTCCCCACGCTTTCTCCCCGCCGTGGCAGCACGGGGACAGGCTGCACTCGCTGCCACAAGCTGC